GTGGAAAATTCGGGCTTTTGTTTAGCTAGCTCTGGCTTGGTCCTTATGCGCAGGACATTAATGCCATGGACAGCAATTACTTGGCACGTTTTTTGGGGCAGCCCCACACACACGCACACACAGGCGAAGTAATGGGAGAAAATGGGAGAAAGTACTCAAAGAAATTGCCATTGCGCGGTCCGAGCTTCCTTCGTTGGGAGGCGCCACGCCACATTCTGTTCCTTGTGCCACCTTCTCGCCTCGGCAGCAAGTGTGTCGCCATTTTAAAGTGATTTATGTGGAAATCTGAGATTAACGTGGAAAGTGGCAAACGAAGAAAGAGGTTGCAGCGGCAGCAGCAGCAGGTGCAACGGCTGGCAGCTTCACCTTGCACCGAGCTCAAGTTTTTCATTCCTCACGTTGCAACCCTGCCATCTCGCCCCTCCCCTGCTTGTTGGTTGATAATGATGATGCTGGCATGAAAATTTATTACTTGGGAAATTACATTATGAAAAATGCATAAAGCCCCGGCTTGGGTTTGCCGAGTGGCTGTGCCCCCTTCTAATGAGCCCCCCCCCCCCCCCCCCCCCCCCCCCCTCCAAAAAGGGGTTTCTGCCAGTCAAAAACTCCAAATTTGTTTGGAGCGAACAGGCTCCCAGGGAAATTGGGTAATCTGGGATAAACGATGGCAGCTTAAAGCAAAACTTTAATTTCCAAAAACATTTCAATCCCTAGAACATCCTGTGAACGACTGAAAGCTGATATTGGAAATTTTCCCTTTGATATTTGAATAGTTTTTCCCATAAAATGTCCAACAAATTACAGTAGCATAGTTTTCCGGGCAGAAGGGGGAAAAACCAACCAAAAATCATGTTGAAATGTATTTCGATTCACTTTTTGGCCTGGATATATTTTTAATTGGTAATGCAAAACCGTATTTCAGTCTCCTGGCCAGCAAAAGGACTCCATCCCAAACCGAAATTTGTTCGAAAATTGCATGGAAGATGGCAAACGGAAAGGAGGAACGTCATAAATTGCTAACCAAAATTAAAGAGCCGAAAAAGCTGAAAGTTTCCTTTGGGGGAACCTTGGAAAGACACACACACACACACACACACACACCCACAGGGGAAGAGAGAGAGAGAGAGAGAGAGAGAGTGAGGTAATGCTACGTGTGGCTGCAACAGTTGCCGTGGCCTGGCAGCTACGTGGCGTCGCGTCTGGTGCCAGCAAGCAACAAAAAGGGGATTGAAGAAAAACAACTTTTACTCTCAAGGACATTCCATGGTGTCGTCTCATTATTTGCCACAGTTGCCACCACTCGGCAACGCCTTCAAAAATAGCAATACACAGACAACAGAACAAGCACCAAATGGATAGAATCGTTGACCTCGTATCAGCCCCTCTGCCGCATGCCGCATGCCGCATGCCTCATGTCGCGTGTGGCATCATCATCATCAGTGGCGGCGGCGGCGGCGGCGGCGGCGGCGGCGGCGGCGGCTCATCAAGCCCCTGCGCTCCGACTGCAATGCATTGATGGTGCCCCTGCCGCACATATGTTGCATGACAGCGGTGACAAAAACACTTATTGGCGCCTTTGGACACCGCACAAAAATTTCATTAAAAGCGGCTCAAGGTTTTTTTTTGCCCGCCACTGCAGTTGGAAAAAAGTTCGCCCCAAAGCAATAACCAAAAACTTTTAAATGGATTTTCCGTGAGGCATATAATGTCTGTATTTAAGATATATAATATATTGTAAGATGGTTGAAGAAACGATTCGGGCAGGCAAAGTTCTTTGAGCCTGGCAACGCCTTCTGCTGGCCATCTGGCAACGCTCAATTTTTCGAAATGCGGTTTTTATTCATAAGTTTTCATCACTTTCAGGAGAGGTGGTAGTGGTTTGGGGAAACTGTTCTTTTCGTTTACGTTTAAAAATTCATACAACAACCTCTGGACGGACGCCTTTCCGTCTTTCAATCTCAATTTCAAGCTTCGCTGACCCTTCACTGCCACTCGCCCTGTCCCGCTCTCACTCACACTCTCACTCTCACTTTCTCGCACTGGTTTTGATGAGAAAACTTTAAATCATTGCCAAATTGAATGGATTTTGGTTTCTGGGCTCTGGTTTCGGTTTTCTTTGGAACAGTTATGTATATTAACAGGAGCCACAGCGGCAGCGACAGAGGCAGCGAAAGCAACAGCCACAGCAACAGCGGCAGCGACAGCGACAGAGGCAGCGACAGCAACAGCGGCAGCGACAGAGGCAGCGAAAGCAACAGCAAGAGCCACAGCGGCAGCGACAGAGACAGCGACAGAGGCAGCGAAAGCAACAGCAACAGCGGCAGACACAACAGCAACAATGCACAAATTTTTGCATATTAATGCTCCTGGAAAAACTCATCAAAAATACAGAAGCGAAGCTCACTCCTCCTCCCCCTCCTCCACCTCTGGCCCCCCGACCCGCTCTGCTCCTGCTGAGGGCGCATTCATGAGCTTTTAGAAATTGTAAGCGTATAAAAAATGTAGCAGCAGGAGGAAAAAAGAAAAGCAAAAAATAAAATAAAAGAAAATCCCTAATGCTACTCAAAGGTATTATGCAATTTTCTTAACATGTTCATGTTCATGTATGGACTTGTAGTTGTAGTTGTAGTTGTAGTTGTACTTGTGTTTATCTATGTTTTGATAGAGAGAAAGTTAGACAGAGAACATGAGTAGAAAGAGATGGATAGATGGAATACATACATATGTAAATAAAGAGAACAGAGAGCGATAGAGCAGGAGTAGGAGTAGTGGGTGGGGTGGGGTGGGGTCGGAGAAAAAAAGGAGAGTGAGATATATATCTGACAGGTGCATTAACGAAGTTTTCAGACAGCGAAGGGAAGGCGTTCCTTGATAAAAAATGATGTGAGTGGAAAAGCAATTTGCTTGATTATGTAGAACAGTTGAGGGAGGCGGTGGGGCGTGGCACGAGCAGGAAGCTCGCGAACATATCGCGGTGGGGTGGCGCGGGGAGGGGTGGAGGAAGGGGAAGGAAGGGAGCATAAATCGCTGATGCTCGACGCTAAAGCGGATTTGTCGCATAAGTCATGTCAAATTACAGCTAGAGAGAGAGACAGAGAGAGAGAGCAAAGGAGAGACGGCAAAGGAGGAGAGTACAAAAAAATCTAAAAAATTGCATTCAATTAAAGGTGAAAGGTAAATTTTGCTTTCACATTCTTTTTTTTTGTATTTTTTATCGTCTCTCCTTTCTCATTGCGCTTTTTGCATGGTATTCTTCAAGCGAACAATAAATTGATTGTGAAAGAGTAGAAGCAAAGTTCGCTGCGCAAAAAAATAAAATAATAAAATGCTGAAAATGAACTCGTAATTCGTAGGGCCACAGCTTAAGATACCCTTCGATTTGAAGAGTTTTACCTAAAGAAGCAATTGATAACCCTCAGTGAAAATAGATAGCTGCTGCTTTCTCTGCGTGACAAACCTTCATCGAAATCATAACACCCTCTGCGAGTACATAATATATAGGATATCTGATGCAGAGGCAGCGGCGCGGACAGCGGCAGCGGCAGAGAACGGTAATGCCTTTTGCGAGACATCTCTAATCAGCAGGAAATCAGTAAACTCGATAGGCACGAGGGCGGAACCCGGCGGATAGCTGGCTGGATGCCTGGAGAATGGAATTAAATGGCACGCCGACAATGCTCGAATGGAATGGAATTTAACGGTATGGCCATCAGAAATGGATGCCATCTCAATGCCCATTCAACTGTGCCGCTTCCTTCACTCGTTCTTTGCATTCAATTCGTGTTTTTTCTCTCTCTTGATTTCTTTCACTTTTTCCAGCATCTCTTTCGCTTGTATTTTTTTTAAACTGCATTGCCTAACCATGGCAGCCATTTTTTGAGAGATTTTCTAAAGTAAAATTCAACTTCTTTATTACGGAAAGAAAGGCATAAAAAAACAGTCAGCTTGGGAGAGGGAGAATGCACATGCAAAAACAAAGAGCCACGTCGAAGAGAACGTTATGCGTGGGACTCTCATCCGAAAGTTTCTTGCTAGAATCGTCTGCATTGATTGTTATACTGTTATACGTTTGCCTGCTTTTGCTCTTTTTTCGTTGTGATCGCAGTGGCAGAGGCGGCGGCTTCTACCTGCGTCTGCGTATGTATGTCCATATGCATGTGTGTATGTTCTAGGTTACAAGCTAACAGGAGGCCGACCGAGAGACGTATGGATCTTGAGAGCAAGCGCGAGACCGCTCTCAAAGCGCTGCGTCAGAGAGAGAGAGAGTGGGTACAGCGCGCTGTAACGGAGAGCCGGTATCCGGTAGCGATGTTAACATGCTAACATACTGTTAACATGGGGGTAGTAACAGCGCTCTGTTGGTCTGTTACAGGTGCTGCCCTGTAAAGTGCTTGATCGATCATGTTTGATCATGTTCAGGGATTCCTACAACAAAGCCGTCAACTTGCTTTAAGAAACCCGCCTTCCTGCCGTGGGCATCCATTTCTACAACTCAATTTCCCTGCCCCCCTGCCGATTCCAAGAACAAAACACCCGCTACATTGAGTAAAACATCTCAAATCTTCGTACCATGATTGAAAAGTCAAGGAGTCGGGGCCTGGACCCCATCTACGGACCATGTTTTTGGTGCCACTTTAATGCTAAACGGAAGCCATTGGCATTGTAAATGCCTTTCTCCCAAGTGTCGTGCCATTTAAATGAGCTTGTCAAGTCGGATTTGAGCACATTAATCACAGACAGACAGACAGACGGACGGACGGACGGACAGACAGACAGTCCGCCCCACCAAGGACTCCGGTTAATGGCCAAAGGATAGGGATGAAGCTGTTGAAGCTTTAGATGCGAAAGCGGATTGGTGGAGGGGTGGCAGCTATTAGCACTCCGGCGACAAAGGAGGCTAAACAAATTACCCACAGAACCTGCAATAAGAGGGGAAATTTCTGCCGAGGACAACATCATTATCGTCTATCGTCGTCCACTCCGAAAGAGAGAGCACTTACCTGTCATACTCGCGATTGTCCTCGTCACAGCGATTGTCCTGCAGCTCTCGCCAGCTCTTGCCGTGGCGACAGGTGGTGACCAGGACCATGTCTCGTCCGTTGTGCAAATGGAACAGCGAGTTGCGGGTCTCCGAGCCAATGCCATGCACATAGCTGCAAAGATACAAGGATACAAGATATTTCAAAATGTTTTAAAGTGATGCCTAGACGCCATACATATATAAAAAGAGGGATTTTCAATACTTTCGATTTTCTTTGATTATTTTAGCGTCCCTCGGCTCTTTTTTCCCCATTCAAGTAAAACAATTATTGCCCGAGTTCTTTCTATTTGTTGCCTTTGCGCATTTTCCGCTTTCGATTTGATTTCGTACGTTTGAAGTTGTTGTCAGTGCCACATCGGAAAATGCTGACAACCACAGAAGCGGAGCGGAGTGGAGGTACACTGCGAAAAGGACCCAAGCCCTAAAGGCCCTAAGGGACAGGTTAGTCTGGGTTTCTGTGCCCTCTTTTTCGCTCAGTGTAGTGGCCGCTGGATTGGGCTTCTCAGATTTGTTCAGTTGGCATAAACAGCGGCGTCAAAATCAATTGCAATAAAGCAGCCACCGGCGGAGATAGGGATAGGGCTTAGGCGGAGGAGGAGTAGAGAAAAGCATCTAGATGCGGGTGTGGCAGCAACTTAAGTCCAAGCCGTTGTCTGGGGCGGGTGCCTTCAGAGCAATTGAAACAAAAGACGCCACACGACGATACCAACAATGGGCGCTGCACGAGATACAGATACAGAGATACAAAGATACGACGGACAGTAAACGCTCTCAAGTGTACGGCTAAGCAAAATGGCAGCAAACCACACACACAGTGGCATGACGTGGCATCTATCGCATCAGCAATCGAGCAGAAAACAAGTAAGACAGGCAGTTCCGATCGAGTGTAGCGACTGGGGGATACCCATAAATACTGTGAAAATTATCTGTAACCAGATAACCAATACAATAAACAGCATGCCCGTGGGTCACCCACGATTACGGGGTACAAATAAGCAGTAGCATTAGAGAATAGATGCGAGGGAGTCCTGTGAGCAGGATAACGCTTCTCTGTGTGTGCAATTTCCTTCTGCTTGGCTTGCAGTTGAGCAAATTTCATACACAATGAAGTATGGGGCAAAGCAAAATATCTGCCACACAGCCACTGTGCCACAGAGACGGAGCAGCAGATTGGGCAGCGCTGATTTCCGTTGTCCGACAACTGGAGCAAGCAAGGAGCACAAGACTTTGGGCCAAGAGCCTGCCACAGCGAACAAACATCCCAGAGATTGGGAGGAGGGCAGCGGGGCAGGAGGTGGGGACTAAGCCATAAGTTATTTGATTTAATCAGCGTGTCGTTGCCTGCGGCGCCTTTTGGGGTTACGAATGGAATTGAAAAGTGTGTGTGTGTGTGTGTGTGTGTTTGCGTCGTATCAATTGTTGGGGCAATATCCCATAGGATCCCAGTACGAAATTGGGTCACCTTAGCCCGAGAGAGATTTATTTGATTTTTCACATTTTCAAACAAAGAAAACAGGAAAAGCAGACCCAAAGATGGATGGGCATGGATCGTCAACGTCTTTAATAGGTGATTGCTATAATTGCTCAGAAATCGGTTAATTGAGGCAAAAGATCGGATCTATTTTATAGTCAGAATGAAGAAAACAAGTCGAACAAATTGCAAAAGCTCGAAAAACACGTTTGGGAATGAGTGGAAATAAAAAAGTAGGGTTAGGAATGGCTGGAAATGCAACACTGAGGTTAGGAATGCCTGGAAATGAAACAATGAAAGTAAATAATCTTTTTTCAGAGGTTGTTTCAAATCAAATTCAAAGTTAAACAGTGAAGGATAATTGAGGAAAAAACCAATCATAAAATATTTGCCCCTACATAATTCGAAAAAAAAACATTGAAAACCTCTACAACGCGAATGAATTGATATGCAAAATGTATTTATACAAGAATTTATTTGCCAATTTGTTTCCATAACGAATCTGATTGAAAATGACAGCGCCGCCATGAAAACCACTCACAAAAGGACTATCATCGAAAGTCCCCCCAACAAAAAAAAGGCCATCTGGGATTTTTCAGATTCTCGTTTGTCCTTCCGGGCTCACTTTTTTGTCGTGTAAATTAATTTAGAAGAGAGATGGCAGTCACATTAATATAAATTAAGTGCAGAGGCTGAGAAAAATGCTTTCAACGGCAGCCATAATGGCCAGGAAATGGTCTGCTGTAATCTAATTTATGCCTTCAATGGCCAAGAGTGTGTATGGAGAGAGTCCCGAACAAGTTTAAAGTGGCGTTTTCTAGTGCCATCTGAAGATCAAGAAAGTAGCAGATACTTTCATTAAAGATATCTGAAAGTTTTAAAGAGAAATCCAAAGGGATAATTGGAGACTAGGGCGTTACTGAGGCTCGATCAGAGCCCTGATTGCTATGGCGAAAACATATGTCTTTGGAGAGCTAATCTTAAATCAAAAATGGTCCCCGAAACCCTTTCAACGAATCGAAATATGTTCTCCGAAATCCCTGGATATAATCTGCCATAAATTTTCAATTGTATGGAAAATCATTTACCTGGCAGCAAATAAAAAAACCCCCTGCCGGGATGGCTCAATTAAATATTGATTGGGCCTAGCGGCAGGCCGCAAACGATTCCCGCACAGAAAAAGGCAAAAACCCAGCAGGAGAGCGAACTAAGGCCAAGGACCCCATCGACACCCCAAAAGCCATTTGGCGGCTGTCATCGGCGACGATGAAGTGCAATAACCAGGGCGGAGGCTCTCCTGCGATGCTCTTCTCTCTCGTGACCACTAATCCAAACATAATCTAAAATAATTGAGTATGCCGGGACGCGAATACGCTTTTTCGCCCTGAATAATTTATGCGCGCATTAAATAAGCTTAAAATGTGCTCTGGGGACAGAACTGGGGACAGACCATGTGCAGGAGTCTTCCCCAGAGTGCCAGTGGCCCCCGCCTGACCCCCGGGGGATCGGCTTACACGGGTTAATGCCTTCTGCTTGAAGCCAGATCCCTACGACCGGCTATGGCTTATGACATAAGTTTATTCTCTCGTTTCTCTGGTGGACTCTGGTCTGGGGGAAGGGGGGGTGGAGGGGATGAATGGTGTCGCCCTGGGTTATGCAGCAGCCTCTGCTGCCGAGGCTTATCTATGCAGCTTCAAAGCTATTGTGATGTCCTTAGCTCTCCAAAGAGAGCTTCTCTCTTTTTTGTCTATGTGTGTATGTGTGTGTGTGTGTGTCCCTCATACATACGCATACAAATTGTGTCGCCATTGGAGAGAAAACAGCGACAAGAGCACAAGCAGAAAAGAAAAAATCCTCCAAAGAAAAAGGACGAGTAACGACTTGAGAGATACCCTCGATATGCGCAACTTTCATCAGCTATCCAGAGGAAATCCATTAAATTATAGATAAATACTAAATAAAAACCAAAAAATAAATACAAATTTTAAAATAAATAAAAATTAAGAAATTACATTTTAGAATAAAAAATAAAATTTATCTTTGAAAAAAAAATAATTTAATTAAATATAATCAACTTTGATTTAAACATTAAAAATTATTTTTAATAATAATTAATAATAATATATTTATTTTAAACATGAAATAAATTGGAATAATTATTTAATTATTTTTAATAATGCTTAGATTAACGGAAACATACATAAACAAAAAAACAATCAAAATACCATCAAGTTTACAGATCACAGTTTTTTCCGAAAAAAATAGCGCAAAAATACTATAAAATATCAAAAAAAGAACAAAAAATACCAAAAAATACCACAAGAAATACCAAAAATTGACACTGAAAGAAGGACCGAAAAATGCTATAATAATACCGCAAACAAATATTAAAAAAAAAAAACAATCAAAATACCAAACAATTTACAATTAATTTATTTTAAACATGAATTGGAATAAATATTTAATTATTTTTAATAATGATTAATTATAAAATATATTTATTTGAAATATGAAAAAATTTGGCATGATCCAACGAATTGTGGCCAATAACAGTGAACAACATAATTTGTATTAGAGATATAATTTTATTTATTTATATATAATTTTTTTGGTTAAATCTGGCAAAGCACGATATACCCTGCCCATCCACAATTACCATGGGGTATCCTCGGAGCAGGAACAACAGAATCGCCACTGGCATTAAATCAATGCAGACAACAACGACACAGCCGTGGACATAAGGATACAGATGCAAGGCAGTGAGAGCAGGGGGAGAGCAGGGGTGGGGCAGGGGGAGCAGAGACAGCTGCGCGAAGCCGAAAGGAGAGCAGAAAGAGAGTGGGGGCCATTGGGGCAGGGGACAGGTAGGGAAAAATGCATTTTTATTCTCGTAAAATATACGTAAATATATTATTAAGTGCAACGGCAACAACAAATTGGTTAAGCAAAACAAAAAAAGGAGAGAAAAATGGAAAATGGAAAACAGAAAAGCCTTAAATGGCAGGTCGTGAAAATAAATACAAGAGGACATATGCGGAAAGGCTCCAAGCGATGGTAGCTCCCCAGTTTGTATCGTTGAATTTCCCTTCGGGTTATCCTTTTGCTGGAGCAACCGTCTGGCATATTTGCTTCTCCATAAAGTGCTCTTCTTCTGCCTCTCTCTTGCCCCATTCGAACGTATTCCATCTCATCGATGGGGGGCTCTTTGGGTGTCATCTGTAAAGCTGACCAGCGACCACGCCCCATATCCTCTGTGGCCTACTGCGTTCCAGCATCGATCCGTATCAATCAGGGTCCTGCTCCGATGGGCTCTCGCATTCATCGCTGGCCTTCTTTTGTAATGCGTCCAATAAGGATTCCCTAGCATCGAGTACGACTGTGTGGGAGCCCCAATGCGAATTTTATCAACGTTTTAGGTACAACTTGAGCCCAGGGGCACGATTACACTCAGCGAAAAAGACCAGCAAAACACACGAGCCAGAAAAGACACATTCTGGAACCTTTTATAACCTGAAAAGAGATTCTTCTTCGTCGAAAATAGCCAAAAATAGCCTCCATCGATCCTCTACGTGGAACTTCTGGAACTTTCTGGAACTTTCTCTCGGTGTTGCATTCGGGGCAAGGAAATCTTTAGCTGCTGCTGCTGCTGCTGCTGTAGCTGATTTTGCGGCATGTGGCATCAACTAGCAGGCAAATTTCCCAGGACTCACAACAGTTACATGTCCAGGCCGCCCAGCCATCTCCCCCCTTGGTCCTGCTGTTGTTGAGACTGGTTTGGTTTTATTGTGTTTATATTTGGCTTACGGCATCAATTTGCTGCCGTACAATGGGGGCAGAGTGTCTCCGTACGTCGCCCCGACCTCAGCTCGGAGTCCGAGTCCGATACCAAGCGATGGGCAGGATAATGATATGCCCCCAGATAAATGTGTCTACACAGAAGTGCGGGGGATAGGGTGGGGGGTCTTTCTGCTGCTGCAGCTCCATCGATTACACATAATCCATTTACACAAATGGCATTTTAAATACATTATTGACTGAAGCTCCACACAAACGAAGCTCTTTTGCGTAGTGTTCGAGGCTCTCTCTCTCTCTCCCTCTCTCTTTGCCCTTTGGCTCTGCCCCCCCAGGACTAGCAGTTGTTTAATTAGTCCACAAAATGCAATTATTGCAACTTGATAAGCTTGTGGAGGTCATTGGCAAATAGCAGCTTAGTTGAGGGGGCATCTCGGCTGTGGATCCTCGTCGTCGTTAAGTGAGTTATTTTAATGCAATTATTGTCCTTTCTCTTTGGCCTTGCATTCAGAAGAAAGCCCCGACATACATATAATCCATCTATACTTGTATGTTTTTCCCTCTTCTTTGACATCTGCATAAGCAAAGCAATCAAAAAGTAATCGAGACTTCAATGGGTCTTTAGCGCGGCTCCACAAATTGTGCAGAACTTGTGGCGTTTTTAATTGAAAACTGCTTTAATCACACAAAAAAAATCACAAAAATACAAGACAAAAAAAAAACGGATATTATATACAAATTTAATCACATAAAAACTGAAAAAACGTTGGAAAATACCATCAAACCATATCTAAACAATCTATGCTATAAAAATACCGCAAGCGAATAGAAAAAAAAATAATCAAAATACCATAAAACTTACAGAACACATTTTTTTCCGAAAGAAAAATACCACTAAAATAGCAAAACTTGAACGATGAAAACACCTTCTAAAAATTCTATAAAAATACCGCAAACATATTATATAAAAAAAAAAAACAATCATAGTACTATACAGTTTTGTCAAAAAAAAATACAATAATATAGAAAAAAATACTACAAAAATACCCAAAAAAGGACACTGAAAAATGCAATTAAAATACCACAAAAATATTTAAAGCAAATGTTTAAAACCATAAAGTTTTCAAAACGAAGTTTTTACAGAAAAAATACGAATACAGAACAGTTTTAATCAGCCAGGCTCCGTTTTTCACATTCACAAAAATTTTCCGATTTACTTTTGAAATCACATAAATTGGGGCTCTCTTTTTCCCATTCCGCAAGATTTCTTCGTTTTCAAAACGAAAACATTTTCGTTGACGAAATGAAAAGTAAACGGCTTTTTATACAACAAAACGAACCTTAATTGCGAAAGGAAAAAAATAGATGACTTATTGATGCATTAACCTAAACTTGATACCTATATCAGGGTAATTTAACTTGTGCTTTCTTTATAAATAATTTTATTTTAACCCAACCCAAAATTTTGGCTCGGAAAAAATTGGCCACAGCAACAACAAATTTCGTTTTGGTGTAAGCAGCTGACGCATTCCGATTTGGTTATCGGAACGTTGGCAATTAATAAATTTTTGTGTATAACAGCACAAATGTGCATGTAACAGCTCAGACTGTGCTTGTAACATGTGCTTAACAGAACATCTGGGTGAGCACAGCTGTTTCCCGCCCAATTTAATTCGGACTTCAAAATGTAACATATCGATAAAAAAAATATGTGAAAAATGGAACACCTTAAAACGAAAACGAAACGTTTTGGCTGAAAACGTAATCCGCAAAAGTAAATGAAAAACGGAGCCTGCCTGAATATATTAAAAAAATTAAGAAAAAAATACCTGCAATACAATAAAAATAAAAAAATATACAGCCAGGATCAGTTTTTCACATTCACAAAAGTTTTCCGATTTACTTTTCAGCGAAAAAGTTGCGAAAACCGGAGCAAACAAATTTAAATTTGTGCGAATTTTTTCCGAAACCGGAATCGTAAAAAATTTGCGAAAACTGGAGCATGGCAGATTGTAAGATTATTGCCAGCAATTAGGTATATAAATAGAGCTGAAAGGTCTAGCCGTAATATCAAAAATATGTATGTGCTTGTATGTAAATAGATTCCTATATGTTCTATAGATATTCGCAGTATATTTATTCACAGTTTATTCACAGTAAATACAAATACCCAAGCATTTGTTAAAATATTTAATGAGGCGTTTCTTTGACATTCATTCAAAATGCGAGCATAACGGAATTAATTGCAAAATAAATGCATTTTCGTATGGTATTTAATTGAAATAAAATCCATTATGAAAGTTAACTGAAAAGGATTTGCTTTGCATTGAATGCGGCGACTGAAAGTGCAATGAAATCTCATTAGCACTTTATGTGGAAAAACCATTTCCATGGATATGGCGAGGGGGGGGGGGGGGGGGGGGGGGGGAGAGTTGCATATAAAATCCGAGTATTCCTCTTCAGAGCAACAACAAACTGTCAATGGCAATAAAGCGGCAAACCATCCATGCAAAAATTTGGCTTAAATCTGTGGAAACTTTGAAGGGGATTTACTAGAAATACTCGTATACTAATTTTAATGGGATGTACTAGACAGATACTACAATGAAGTGGAGTGGCGTGGAGTGGGGTGGGCGCCACCTGGCACAAATTTGAATATATTCAAGTGGCATCAACACTGCTGATGATGACGATGATGATGATGATGATGATGTGGCAGCCACACACGCCAGAAAGCCATTTATTCAACGGAAAAGTTTCAGCACGTTCCATTGCCCATTGCCCATCAATTGATGAAATTAATGATTAAAATGTTGCATGTTGCATGTGGCATGTGAGCCAATAAATTATGGTGCAGGCAAGGCTCATTAATAAATTATTAAGTAATAGTTAAACAAAAACATTTGAGAAATATTTTTTACAAATAAAAACGCCACCCGGTAAGAAAAATAAAAGCAACAGTTCAGGCCCCAAGAGGCAGCTGCAACAGAAGGCGAAATCAAGCGTCAAGAAATGCATACGGAAATCAAAGCGAGAGAGAGAGAGAGAGATACAGAGAGGGAGAGAGAAGGTGTGAAACAATGTAAAGGAAGGAAGAATGAATGGAAACCACAAATTCGGAGTGGAGAAGACCAGAAAGGGGGAGAGACCAGAGCGGAGGAGACCAGAGAGGTGGATACCAGAGAGGAGGAGAGACCAGAGAGGAGGAGAGACCAGAGAGGAGGAGAGACCAGAGAGGAGGAGAGACCAGAGAGGAGGAGAGACCAGAGCGGAGGAGAGACCAGAGCGGAGGAGACCCCAGAGAGGTGGAGACCAGAGAGGTGGAGAGACCAGAGAGGAGGAGAGACCAGAGCGGAGGAGACCTGCAAAAGTAATGGAACTAATTGCCCAACGAAAAGCCGGCCAGCTGGGGCAGGAAGGCGGAGAGCGGAGGGGGGGGAGTCATTGTTTTCTCCCCCTTTCAGCCAAAGCAATGCCAAGCTCAAAGCCAAAGACAAAAGCCAAAGCCAGAGCCAAAACCAAAGCCTAGTCAAAGACAAGCTCTGGTAATTGGAGCAACCTGCCACATGCCACACAGCACAGCACAGCAAGTGGCAAGTGGCAAGTATATAAAAGCAAGTGCTTGCCGCGCTGCCGCCTGTAGTAACAATTCGGGCACAAACCAGACCAGATCCTCGCCCAACATTAAATATCGCGGTGGGAATTCACATAAAATAGTGCAACATGAGGAAGCATTGCGTAAGTAACACACAGCGGAAGGAAGTGCATAGTTGTGGCATAGACGCGTGGCAACATTCATTGTTGATATCTGCATTGCCCCATTAGATCCATTGGATTTGGCTGGTGCTGGTGCTGTCGCGGCTGATCCACGTGAGGGCCGAGCAGCAGGCGGATGAGCACAGGTGAGTGGCAACAGAAGCAAGAGATTCGCTAGAGCCAGGGGAAGGAAAGATTTTCCGATTTAGAGGGAGGCAATGTGGATCGATTACGGATCGGAAAAGTGTGGAAAAGAAGGTGCCATCTAATCATGGATTCACTCAAGAGATCTTCCAGTAAATCACTTTCCCACAATTGTAGTTGAATCGTTCAGTAATTTCGCAAGACTTTCCCCTTTTGTTGGAGCCCTGACTTTCACTTGCCACAACTCTCCCCCCCCCCCCTTGCAGAATCCAGCGGCGCTTCATGTGGCAAGAGATGAACAACTCGGTGATGGGCAGCGTCCTGGGGCGCATGTTTGGCGGTGCCAGGGCCATGAAGAGCATGTTCACGGACCTCCTGCCGAGCCCCGCGGTGTCGGGGCACACGAAGAAGAGCCCCGCAACGATCGACCTGCGGCCCACGGAGATGACGCGCGTGAAGTACATCATCCGGAATCCGCACACCCACAAGCCGATGAAGATCATCAAGATGCGGCCGTCGGCCAAGAAGGTGGTGCAGCTGCGGCGACCCCTGCCCAAGCCCAGGCCGGGCGTGGCGACGGAGGCGACAACGCACTCCCTCAGCTACGACCATCGGATGCGGCAGCTGGAGAAGGAGCAGGAGCTGATCGCCGAGGGCAAGGCACCGCTGACCAGCGACGAGGATCTCATGGACAAGTACTTCCGGAAGAAGGCCAAGGGGGGCCCGGGGAGTGCCAGCAACGAAGTCGTCTCCGGCAAGATCATGGAGTACCAGAGCTGGAAGCCCGTCTACAAGGCCGGCGAGCAGCCCAGCAGCGGCTCCTTTGTGACCCTGCGGCCACAGGCCCTCACACAGCTCCACACGGATATATCCAGTAGCGGGAGGGACCATCACCATGACCATCATGACCAGGACCATGAGCTCCTGCCCAAGCCGGAGAAGCTGGTGGGCTACGAGTACGGCAGCGAGGAGGAGACCGAGAACGAGCTGGCCAAGCAGATGGGCCACCGCTACGAGGTCACCGAGCACACGGGCGACTCCAGCGGGGAGTACGAGGCAGTGGCATCGATGGAGAGCGGCTTTGTGCCCATCAAGGGGTATCGGAGTCAACCGCCGCAGGAGCAGCATCCACCGCGGCCCAGGAGCCGAGGCACAACCACCAGCAGCACCACGACCACCACCACCGAAGCCCCCAACTACCCTCCGTCGTTCCTGAAGAAGTACCGCGAACGGGAGGCGGCGGCCACCACCAGACGACCTCGGAAGCAGCACAAACAGCAGCAGCAGCAGCAGCAGATCCACGGCGGCGATGGAGGGGGTGGTGCCAGTGAGGAAGACTCGATCACCACCAGCCAGCCGTCCTCCTCGATGAGCAGCCTGCGGGCCCGTCTCCAGGAGCAGCAGCGTCGCACCAAGCACCAGCACCAGCACCAGCACAAGCAGCGGCTGGAGGACGAGGAGTACGAGGCGGCCCTGGTGGAGGCCATGCACGGGGACAAGTGGCCGGCGGAGGTGCACCACAGCGGCTACCAGCTGAGCAGCCCCATCGGCCCGAGTGCAGTGGCCTTCGAGCAGGCGGTGCCACAACCAGGAGCAGCCAAGTATCCCCATCCCAAGGAGCACAAGCGGCCGCCGCGGGCCAACATCCGGGAGCGGGGATCTGTGAAGTTTGGCGACAAGCCCAGCTACGAGGACGAGGAGGCGGCCTGATGATACGACAGGAGGGGCGGGGGGACACGATATTACCCAACCAAAGAGCCAAAGCTGCAGTTAAGCCAGGAGCGGCGGGGGGGAGCTAAGTTAGGCTTAAAAAAGTTAACCAACAATTAAGTTTAATTGCCTAATCTAACGACTAAGTAAAAGCGAATTAGAAGAAGAAAAATGTAACAATTTAACAAACAATTTCCCCATTTTTGTGTATTTATGGAATGGGTATCGGGTATCGGGTATCGCCACTGCCACTGGCACCGCCTCAAAGTCAATGCACTGCTTGCACGCAACACCCAACACTGCCGTGCAACGGACATAACTTTGGCAAATCTTTTCCCTTTTAATTAACGCCACTTTTGCGTTTTTTCATTGCCTTTTTCCCCAAGTGGAAAGCATGCGTGTGAAAGCATATCCGAAGCCATAGATCTGCTAGATCTCACAGTTTATTAGAGCTTTCAGGGCTAAAAAAAAAGGGGTATAAATATTTCAAAAATGTTTAGAATTTAGCTATGAAACTTTGGGTATTAATAGAAATTACTATTATCTAAGGGTCTAGCAAATTATAGCAAGATGGGACTATTATCGTAGAAACCAGAGTCTTTTTTACAAGCGAAATGTTCTTTATTTACAAATCTGTCCAAAGATTCTTTAGGGTATTTTAGAAATATATTGGAATTTAGTGAAGGAGAATGAAAAAGGCGAAGTATGTGATATTTGTCTTTCTTTAAACCATAATATAGGGTATCCCATCATCCCTTGTTTCCCATAGAGAGAGAGCATAGACTAAAGAGTGGTGTACTTTTGTGGCTATCGCATTCCTCTTAACGGCTTGCATTTGACAACTAATTTAAAAAGTTTACTTGGCCAGCCTTGAGGCTGACCCCGCGGGGTGAAATCGAGTACGTTGACTACAAAGTAGGTTAAACCTGCTATAAATTCCAGCAGCAGGCCGAACAAAAGCCATAAGACACACACACACACACACACACACACACACACACACACACAGACACACAGCCACAGCCACAGTAAGCTTTCCCTTGAGTGGAGAAGAGAGGGAGAGGGAGCGAGAGAGAGAGAGAGAGAGTCGGGAAGGAACAAACAAAGAAAAGCGCATTTCCACTTTGAGTGCGGTTTTTAATCAACTAAAGCAGCGGCGGCGGCAGGCAACAACAAAACTGAAACTGAATTAAACAAAAAACAAGAGCAAAGAGAAAAAAACAAGAACTCGGTGAAAAAAGTCCAGAGAGAATCAGAGAAAGGAAAAAACACAGTGGGACGGCAGGATAGGATAGGATAGGAGGGGGGAAGAGCATAGACAGTGCGCCGTAAACTTTAAACGAAACGACATGTCGGCTTAACGGGGAAAAACGCCCGGCAACGGGGGGGGCCAGAGGTGTGTCGGAGAGAGATAGCCTACCGATTGCAATTGCAGATAATACACGAAAGATAACAGAACATTTTGCACTGGGCATAGGGCCAGCGAAACGAAACGAAATAAAATGAAATGAATTAACGAAAGGGAGACAGCGAGAGCGAAAGGAATGCAATTTACGGTTGGGTTTTGTATCAGGTAGGTATTTGCAATTAGCTTTAGATGAAAGCTTACTCGAGAGTCGCTGAAGGCGAGAGTGAGCGAGAGCGAGAGGCAGCGGAACGTCGAACAGCGGGCTCGATCTTGCATGAATGTTCGCGTCGCTCGGGTTCGAAGCGAACAAGCGGCAACTTCGTTTACCTACGTTTGATCGGGCTTTTTGGTGCTCGTTTGCAATCGCTTTCGCTCGCATAGAAACGAACTTCACGAAGCGCCATGCTTCTATTTATTTCCATATGTAAAGTCTTTGCATTTGTTCTCTCAGCTAAAGCTTCTTTCATAAGCTTTCATTAAATCCTGTTTTTAGAAACTTGCAATACATTTGAAAGACTTTTAGGAAAGGATTAGGTGGAAAATCTTTGTGAAATTTAAATTTTCCTATCAAGATTAAGTCGATAACAAAAACTCTGCACACCAGCCAAAAGTTATCCAGTTTGGGGAGCTTCGCTTCCTATTTTTCAAGGACATTATTGGGGACATGGCCGGGCCTGGAGTTGGCTTTTATTTTTCCATCTCCCTCACTTCACTTTTTGGTTTTTCCGGGTGGGTGGGAGGCCGATGTCGACCTGTACCTGTCCAAGTGCCCAAGCGGCAGGAAACGCCCTCTCACCTGCACCCACCCACTTTATCCATTCGGCCGCTGTGCCACGTCGCACCAGCGTCGAGTGCACCAAATACAAATTAGAATTTAAATGAACAATGCAACCAGAACGGAAGTTTCCATGGCTCGGAGTGGATTTTTGTGGGTGGAGGTGCAGGTGCAGGCGTGAATGTGGATGTGGATGTGTGGGTGGTGTGCAGGTGACATTACAGGTTGCACGTAGAGCGGAGAGCAACAACAACTGCTGGCTGGCAATGGCCATAATGTCATGCAGTTTTCGCGCACTTTTTGCCACTGCTTTCCATCCACTCCCCGTCTTCTCCATCTCTCCAGATCTCTTGAAGAGGAAAACTTTTTGGAGATTTCTGCAACGAACTTGTCGTCAAACTGGGTCGCCTTCAACTCAACGACGAAATGTCAAAGGGATAAACGGAATTTGCACTGGAATGCACACATACATATGTACATGCAAATATTGAGAGTCCATCCAATACGTTCCATTCAGAGAATGCGGAGAGGGACCGCTAACTGAGTGACCAGAGGCCGTATGGCAACGCTGAAAAGGTACAGTTTAACCCAATTTAAGAGGGAATCAATCCTACTGCAATCCGTTTTCGTTCCCCACCTATGATAGCCCATACAAATGTGGGGTTTTTCGTGAAACAAGCCACCACATCGATTGCGCCAGACGTCGCGACGATGGATGGCATTGGTTCGTACATTTATTGGGATTCTTTTGGCCAAGAGAATCCTTTAAATCGTGTAAACTGTTGGCGTCAATTAAGTATTGGAAAAAGCTTTTATATTGTGCCACGATTCAGCCAACTCATTTATTCATTCACACATTCGTTCAATTATTCATTCATTAATTCGCCTGGCACCTACTGTCGGAATCTGCTGCTGTCAAAGCGCAATTTATTAAAGCGAATTTCTTTTAATTAAAAGACAAGAAAGAGCCGCTTACAGTGGGGCCGAAGCTCTTAATGCTCTTACAGAGTGGCGGCAGAGTAAAAGAGGCAAAAAGGAACAAACCTCTGCCTGCTAAAGCGAGTCCAACCGCTGCCCCGAACTCCAGGCAAAGAGAGTGAGAGAGAGAGTGATACCAACATGCATGATCACATTCAGAAACTAAGGAAAAGATGCAGGGAGAAGCTGCTCGGCCCAGGGAGGCCGAATATATACATACATATGTAGATTCCCCAGCGAATGTTCAACTAATCGGTGGACAGGGGACGGGGAGAGAGTGTGAAGGAGAGCCTGGAGCGACTAGGCCTGGATGTGACGATGTGCCGCTGCTCATATTCTGGGACCTGGAAATTTGAGGGGGAGGCCACCTCCCTCCCAACGCCTCACCTTACGTAAATATATATTGCGATGTTAGTAGCAGGAAGCTATGAAACTCGGCGCTCAGAGGCAACGTGTTCGTTCCAACCGCACTGTACGAACATAAACCATCACGAATGTATGTATGAATAATGTGTGTGTGTTCGTTTCGAACCTGCGCTAGCCGATCATTCCATGTAAATGTTAACAGAAAGCTGTATGCTATAACTCTCTGTCTCTCTCTGCCACTTGCACTCTGGCATGTAAAGCTTTTCCAGCAGCACAGCATACAGGAGGGCACCACACAATATTTAAGCTCTCTTCCTCCATTCTCTTCCTCCAAAGACGAGTATTAGCTAAATGTGCGCCGATCCGTTCACAGATATCTCTTCTCTCTTCTCTTGCACTCTTCTCACTCGTCGTGCGGCGGCTTGAGTGCTAAAATCATAGTACCCCCCGCACAAGCGAAAAGGGTATAGGTGGCAGGTGAGAAATGGGGGGGGGGGATGGAAGGTGGGTGTTTGGGCTGTGTCAGAATTCATGTCCGAATTGTATTAATTATGGATATTGACAATTGCGTTGAAGCCAATTCGGCTGGGCCTTTGAACCATTGTTCCTTCTGCAACTTTTATACCCGATCATTGAACTCGCAATCAACAAACGGGGACGGATTCGAGGGAGGTTTCATTTGGTATGGAAAACATTTTGTTTGCTTAATAAAACTCGCACACACCCACACACACACCGAAACCCGCTAACGGATGGGGAAACACCACGAGACCAGACGAGACCAGACGAGACCAGGCGAGACGATAGCTCTGGCTCTGGCTCTGGCCCACGTTTAGCGTCAGGTTTGCTCCAAGTGCGAATTGTTCCCGCCTCGCTAAAAAATTAAATATTCAAATATGGCGGGTGGTAAGAGGGCGAATTGAGTGGCGAGCAGGAGCAGAGCTTCCAGGAGGAGTCGTTTAGTTTCTGGGTGGCACAGGACCCGCCAGCCAAAGCTCTCGAACACAAACGCAGACACACCTACACGCATCACCCGTTCATATTCATATGGTACAGGCGACAAAAGGTGTAGCCTTCGTTGTGCTTTCGAGTCCATAATGGGAGACTATTAGATCTTAAAAATAAGTGGAATTTAGATAAAATATCTGTCTGGGGATATCTTTTCCACAAACGAATGATTAAATATCACCTATAACCCAGCTTCCTGCTAGATCTCAAGTTTTTATTAAATAAATACCTTGAATATTTGTTAGATTTATCCCGATTAAAAGAGCTAACATCTAGCGCCTGAACAGCCACAATTCCATCACTTTTAGATCCCAATTGTCATCTCCACTAAAAAGTTTTCTCTGCTACTTTTTCTTCTTTTACAGGAAATTCATCTCAGAAATAAACCCACATGAAAATGACCCTTCGATCATATTTGATGTGGTCTTAAAAGCCAAGAATAATCACCGTAGATCAGCGTGGTTC